CTAGGTACGTTCCATCTTCAGGACATCTGTCAAGAATCTTAATCTTGATAAGATTTAAGCAAACAATATGTTTAAGAAAAGCAGAAGATGGTGGATTTTTTTCAATAATAAAATGAATAAAATTGTGGAAAAAATAATGTACAGGAATATGACGAAACAATCAAAATGAAAATGAAAATAAATCAGTGGATTATATAACAAAACATTAGAAATGTTAAAAAATTAGAAAGTTTTAAGAAAGGTTACTGAAAAAACAGAAATAATTACCTGTATGATTGATCATACACTACAATTTTTCAACCAAAAAGATTTTATCAAAAACTGTGATTTTATAAATTTCTTTTCAGACGAACAAACAAATTTTGTAATTCAAAATTTCTTTAAATTATGTTCTTTTGAGTTTGTTATGCAAGACAAAATGAATTATTGATGTTATGGGATGACCATTGGTAACAAACTTATATATTTATTTTTCTTAATATATCAGTTATTTTTTAAGAAGAAAACACTTGACTTAAAATTTGTGTATGTGTGCGTATTGATTTATATCTCAGATTGATCTTAAATGGATGTCAATATTAATTATTTGTCAAAAGCGTAAAAAATTTAAATAGAATCATATGTAACATGTTGTGATCTGATGTAATGTTGAAACTCACTCAGCCAATATAGAATTCATTATTACTTACAAAATGATTTCTTCTAACTATTTTTAATTCGATGAATAGACTGCAATTTTTTTCAAATACTATATGTTACAACGTAGAAAAAATATTCAAGAAATTGTTTTATGCACGATATTCATTATAAATATTATATATTATTTTTATAATTACGATTAGAAACATTGAGCTAGTGATATCCATCATTGTTAACATATAGACCTAGGTGTAAGTGGCATTTTACCTTAAGGCAAGTCCCGACAGGTGTAAATAATCAACTCTATCAATATCAATTTTGAAAATAAAGTTTTAGCTTCTCACTATAAACTAATTCATGTGATTTTTATTTAAAATTGACCAAAAAACACTTATTTCTGTAATTGTATATTCATTAAATTTACCACATAACGTTACACGAATTTTTGAGTAAAAAATAAAACAAAAAATTTTGCATAGTTTTTGTTCAATGCAAGCACTCCGAGAATATGAAACAACAAGTCAATTGTTAATAGGACGATTTTTGCACTAAAAGCAACCATGTCCAATGTGTGGCCGGTGGCCCCATTACAATTTTTGTGCAAAAAAAACACACAAATTAACCCTTTCCACTGGCGCATTGCAAAATTTGTATGTATTTTGTCGCCGGAGCGGCGGCATCTGAGTGGAAAGGGTTAATACTTAAACTTTATTAATAGATACAAATAATTTTTATTACGTGGCCGAATTGCTAAGATATTTTCAAAATCAACGGAAATTGAACTAGGCTAAAAAGTGACATCGTGCCTTAAGAAAAATTGCTGAAACTTCCTGTACCTTAATGAAATTTTTGAGTAATATTAAATGTTTTCAAATAGATTATTATAAGTTTAGAACTTTAGCTAGAAACCGAATAATTTTTCTCATGGATAAGATTTTTCCATATTCAAAAAAAATAATTAAGATAAAAAAAAATGTCGCTCCAAAAGCAATCGTTTCGTCAACGCTAGCAGAAAGTTATTTAAATCATTCAAATCGGATGCTTAGTTTTCTCAAAAACTGCCATTTTTTGTACATTGAAGGCAGGTCTAGCGGTTTTGGAGATCTAGTGATAAAAGTAAAAAAATCCCATTTGGCGGTCAAAAATGATCATTAGACATATGCACATCAAATTATCAGTAATTTTATAGAGATTTTAACAATAAGTATAAATTTTGTTTACATTCCTATGGGTTCCGTACCAATGTTTATCAGATAGACGGCAACGCGGCGCTTACGCGCTTGGATATTTCGTCTCTATGCAGTACGATTGCTTTAAAAAAAGTTCAGAATTTCCAAAATATAAAAAACATTTTTTTTAAAAAAGTCCTTGTTTTTCTAATAAAGTAAATTACTGGCAAAAATTTATAGTTTTTCAAAAATCTAATTTTTTCAAAGTAAATTTTTAATGTTAATCTTTAAAAAAAATTTTTTTGGTACGGGAAGTTCCAGCAATTTGTCTTAAGGCACAATGCCATGCGCCCTACTAGTCTCTGCTCCATCTTGTATCTTTCGCCTTTAAGTAAGGTTTTTGTTTTTTGTTTTTTGATTTTTGCAAAAGCACACACACTAGTGTTTCGAAAAGTTTATGGAAGTTGACCATAGACCTTATACAATTTCATGGACTGCTAGTCCCCATACATTTCTCAAGTAAAAAAGTGTCAAAAGATGTTCTATGGTATGAGGGCAAACGAGGGTAATTTTGCGGCCGAGATATGTCAAACTCAATCGCTTGAACGTCAAATGAAAGTCCGTGTGTTCGAAATTGTTGGGAAAATATTATATAATATACAATTTATGTTAAACTAATGAATGTAATGAACTATTTATATATTTATTTATTTATTTTAGTTATACAAACTGTTTAAGGAAAATAAGAAAAAAAAATAAAAAAATATTTTACATATTATAAAATTCACTGAAAATAAGAACAGTTCGCTAGAGCTATTATGGGAAATTAGAAAGCAACAATGAAATATTTGTTTAAATGTGATATATTTATTATTGGTGTTTAAAAAGCACAATTTTTGTGTGAAAGTGGCGTACATATTTATCAATTTTGCTTTTTTTATGTTCTTCATGGTGCATTCTAATTGTTAAATACATTTTTGCGACAAAGTTGATAAGGTCATGATAGTGCTGGACAAATTGCTGGAAATGGCTTGATCTAAAAAAATGTGCAAGTCCCAAGTCATCCAACTTTCGGAGAATCGTGCTTTCATATGAACTTTTGTACATTAAATTTAAAGAATTTCGAATTAGGGTTTCTATATATAAATATAATTTAAACATTTCATCGGAAGGATATGAAAGATATCCTCGATTTTTTATATCGATGAATGTCGAATTTCCCGGAATACTTGCGAAGCATTCAGAACAGGTTTTACTGCAATCAGGAACTTTACCACAGACCAAACACATTTTAGAAGACATTTTACTTTTAACAATTTTACAACAGGTATATTTTTATCCTCTTTTAGTTTAAAAACCCGAGCGATCAAACATCACGTGAACCCAAGTAACTGTAAAATTTAAGCGATCGAGTGCATTCGACTAATCTCGGTAAAGCTCGTGTTCGTATTTGACATATCTCGGCCGCAAAATTACCCTCGTATGCCCTCATACCATAGAACATCTTTTGACACTTTTTATGCGCTCAACTAGCAGTCCATGTATTGTATAAGGTCTATGAGGTTGACCATCTATGCATTCGAGCATTTCCAATCTCTGCTCACAACTTCTTTTGACAGCTACTTGACAGTTCGAATCCTAGTTCGAATACATTCAATTTTTAAGTGAAATCTTTAGTAAATATTAGATATTAAAATGCTATAATGATTCGTTTATTTTGTTTTCTGGCAATATTTAATAGTGGTTTTGCAAGTGATATAACCAGCACAGTTTTTGGAAGCCTCAGGGATGGAATACCAGCAGCATTTGGTGATTTCAATTCAGACGAATTAACAGATGTATTTGTATTAAGAAATAATAGTAAGACCATAGAAATATTGTTAGCTACAAATCATGAGCCCCTTTTATCACCTGGTGATAAAATGCGCTGCCATTTTAAGCATAAAATCACCAGCGTAGTACCAGGAGACTTCGATGGGGATGCCTTGATGGATGTTATGGTAACTTGCAAAGAACATGATGATAATAAATTAGGTGTCCATGTTTTATGGGGTGGTAGACAATACTTAAATTGTAGTAATGAAGATCCTTTATTCTATACCCATGACCAACCTTTAGCTATTGATTATAACCAAGATATGATTGTCGACTTGTTTGGCTTGGACTTCAACAGAAACCGTGTTTTCTGGATATTTGATAACTCTCGAACCAAGCCAAAGGTTGTTAATCTCCCAGCTTATGCTGATACTTATGGCGGTACCATGCACTATCCTATGAGATCCCCACATTCTAATGCTTTTGTCGATCTGAATCATGATTTTACCCCAGATCTATTTATAACAGCTGAGACTAAATTTGAGGTTTGGTATGGAGTAGACACAGACACCGAACCTAGATTTATGTATAATCATTCAATACAATTGCCGGTTGGGTCTTTGAATGGCCATGTAGGCCAAACCTTATTTTTGGATGTTGAACTGACAGGAAAGTTAGATTTGCTTGTACCTATTTGTTTTGATGATAATTGTGTCAATAGTACTATACTAGTTTACAAAAACAACCGCTGGCATAATCTTCAGGTTAATTTTAAGGATGAGAACAATGTTGTTTGGGGCTTTTTAAGACCAGAAGATAACGACAAACCCTATAAATCAACTATTACCCTTCATGGTGGTGATTTTAACATGGACGGCTACCCAGATATTTTAGCCACTTTAAATCCTGTATCTCCTAAATCTTACCAACCACAATCATTTTTATTGGAAAATATACCTTGCACCAGTAACTGTGGTGCATTCGATCGCACATACACAGTACGCTGGAAAGGATTGTTGCCTTTTACCAACGGTACAATAATGTCTGTGTTTTATGACTTTTATCAAGATGGTATATTGGATGTTATATTAGTGCAAGAAAATCCTGTGAATAAATCTACACAAGTTGCTGCTTTTAGAAATACTTTGGATTATGATGCAAACTTTATCAAGATTATGGTATTGACAGGGCTCAAAAATGATGAAGATTCAAGCACTATCGGCCCTTTAGGAGATAAGAGGACATATGGTTAGTATTTTGATTATACACACACAATATATATATATATATATATATATATATATATATATATATATATACAGGGCCGGTCCTGCCTTGCATGCGATGCATGCAAAAAATGCGGGCGCACGCCTTAGGGGGCGCCAAAACGAGTTTCGGAAATTAAATTTATAATATATTATTTAAATTTTTTCCTAATATAATCTATCTACTAATAAATCTAGTATATTAAGTTATCAAATATCTCCCTTCCGTTTTTTTGCTCTTGGTTTATAAAAAGGCGGAAGGGAGATATTTGACAACCTTATACTTAATAGATTATAATAAACAATCTAACTTAACTATGAATAGGAAAAAGCACATTCAGTTTGCAATGTGATATCAGTAGAAACAATTAATTACTCTGCAAATTAGTAAATTATTGTTTTGCTTATTGTTTAATGTACTTATTAAACTTTTCTTCGTTTGAAGTTAATGTGGAATCGAAAAAGAAATTATCTAGAGTTCAATCCCGTAAGCGCAAACCTACAAAAATTTAAATTATTGGGCATTATTAATGAAAAACTTCGAGCTGATTTAGTTTGAACGAAACTTATTAAAAAATAGATACAAATTATAATAGAGAAAAATGGAAAATGGGAAGTCGGTGAATAGAAATTGGCTTATTAAGACCGAGAAACTGTTGAAAATGTTTCGCATCTGATAAGCTTTGAAAGTTGAAGACATGCGTGGCTAGGTTTATGGAAATGGAGGAGATATGAAAAAAATAAGCAAAATGTACTCAGAAACAAAAATCGTTTTTCTATAACTAGTGGTGCTCATACTAAATTTAATTATTAACTAAGTAGAAATAATACAGATACAAATATAATTGTGTTTTGTTTTCAATATAATTCAGGAAATATGTAAATTCTTTGCATCTTTTAAAATACGTTAAAAATTTAACTTAAAAACAACAATCTGAATCAGATGAGAAAGTAAATATAAATACAATTCGGCCCTTACGGTATCAATAAGGAGAAGTTTACGATGCAATTTTGGATATTGTAAATAATGAAAAATAAAATTAAAATAAAATTTAAAAAATTCAACATGCAAAACGAGTCCTATGTTTAAAAATGAAATAAGTAGAATGTTTCAAAGCCCAAATATTAATATTACATATATGTTAGAAATACTTGAAAATGTAAAATATTTGATTATGGTCAACTCGCAAATTACTTGGATTTTCTAAATAAAATTAAAATCAATGTATTTAATACGCTTTTAGATTATATCTAATTGAATTGAATAAATTTAAAAAAAATTACGTAAATGTTTATATAAATTTAATGATAAATGTTAAAAAATTTAAAATTATTGGGGGGGGGGGCGCTAGAACAAATCTTGCATGCGGGCGCTGAGGACCCCAGGACCGGCCCTGTATATATATATATATATATATATATATATATATACACATATATGTATATGTGGATGGAATTTTGGAGAGTATTAAACAAACATAATTTTTTTAATACTATCTCAATGTAAATGTTTATTATTACAAACCTTTGCTTATTCGATTTTTCAATATTTTTTTTGAAATCTAGTAATTGTGGTTTTATTACGTTATAGGTTGGAAAAATAGGTTTTTCCAATATAAATTGGGTTGCAATCTAAACAAAATTAAATTTTATTTTGTTTAAATATCTCTAAATTAGAATAAAGCATTTTGTACTTTTATTTTATTTTCCAATGATTATATTTTTATTGATTAATTTAATTAATTATATAAAATTCATTAATTTTTTATATTTAATGATGATCAAATATTTGATAAGAGTTTAAGGATTATTTTAATTTTTACTAAAAAAATCCTTCTTATAATAAAACATGTACTTGTATTTAGATTTTAATTTATGATAAGGATTATTGAGATTGATGGTTCTCGGTTCTAACAATGATCAAGATATTCGTAAGTTAAAGCATTTCCTAAAATTAAAGATGTAGTGACTATTTTACCTCAAATTATAATGATGATGAACAGTTCATTTAAATTCATAGTGTTAACTTACCGTAGGATAAGTTATAGTAATGGGCCGAAAATCGAAAATGAAAATTTTTGCAAATCTTCACGTTTAAGAGGTTTCTGAACATTTGGCATACCTAAGAAAAAATGGATGTGAGTGTAGTTTTGTATGAATGGATACAATTTTTCGCCCACGTTTTCAGGTGCACGGATCAACCGATTTGAATGATTTAAAAAACATTCGATTCCTACTGATAGGGAGTTGTGCTGATTAGTTTTTGGCAAAGGCAGGTCCAGCCATTTCGCAGATACGGAGCAATGAGTGCAGAAAATAGAAATCGACATTTTGAGAGAATGGGGCATCCGATTTGAATAATTCAAAAAACATTCAATTTGTAATGATGGGTAAAAGAGGTGATTAGTTTTTAGCAAAGTTAGGTACAGCCATTTCGAGGATGCAGAGCTAAATTTGCTAAAAATGGCAGTTTTTGAGAGAACTAAGCGTCCGATTTGAACGATTCAAAGAACTTTTTGCTTGTTTTAACAAAATAATTGCTTTTGAACATTTAGCTCTGTATCTCCGAAGCGGCTGGACCTGCCTTTGCAAGAAACTAATTACCACTTTTCCCCGTCATTACGAATTGAATGTTTATTAGATCATTAAAACCGGATGCTCCATACTCTCAAAAACTCGATTTCTATTATCTGCACTCTTTGCTCATTATTTTCGAAACTGCTGAACCTGCCTTTGCCAAAAACTAATCAGCACATCTTCCTATAAATAGGAATCGAATGTTTTATTAACCATTCAAATTGGTTGATCCGTGCGCCCAAAAACGTAAACGAAAAACTGTATCCATACATACATACATACACATACACATCCTTTTTTCTGAGGTATGCCAAAATGTTCAGAAACCTTCAAAACGTGAAGAAATGTAAAAATTTTCTATTTCGATTTTTGGACGATTACAATAACTTACCCTACGGGTAGTTAAAGAGATTATTAAACTTTTTTTTAATTTTTTTTTTTTTCGTATTTCGAAAATAATGCAGATTTTAATTTTAATTCTGGCTAAAGTTCAAAAACTCACTTATATACTTTAAATAAATAATTTTAACTTTGTAGTTCAGTTTATATAATTCTTATAAATATTAGACAATGTTTACTGTATTTGTAATAATCTATTTGAAAACATTTAAGATTTTTCGAACATTTTGTTACGGAACGGGAAATTCAAGCAATTTGCCTTAATGCACGACGCCATACACAACTAGTTAATTAATAGTTAATAAAGGTATAACTAATCAACTAACATTTAATTTAATACATCATAAAAATATAGTAAGGCCGGAAACCAAAATTTACTTCTTTTGAGTTATTTTTAATCCTAGTATTTATGCATTAATTTAATAACTTTTTTTCAGGAACAAATTTACCTGGCCCAAGAATAAAATACTACACAACGACTCAGGAAGGTCAACAGAGATCCGGAGTTTGCGCTCAGTTGCCTCAATCAGCATACTTTGCTCTGCACCTTCCTTATTCAATATTCGGCTTAGGACGAACCCCAAATTTCGTCGATTCTTTAACAGTAGGTTTGTCCAGTAGATCCAGATCGTGGACCCAGATCATTCCCAATTCACAAATGGTAATAATACCCTGGCCTCCTGCAGAACCTCTGAAATGGAAAAATCAACTGTTTGTGACTCCTAGTAAATTAATTTTGTTGAGTGTCGCCGCATTAACTGGAACCTGTGTACTGATTGCTTTGATAATTGTGATTTTACATTTAAAAGAAAGGAGAGAAGATAAGCTGGAAAAGCAGCAAGAATCTCATAGGTTCCATTTTGATGCTATGTAATAAATAGAATTTAGTCAATATACAAAATTCATTTTTTAATAAAAACTGTTTATGACTTTACGTGATGTAAATAATTGTAACATAAACTATATCATAGAATAAGTAATTTATTTACCCTTATTGATTATTTTATTAGATTTAGGCACAATTTTGTTAACTTCCAGCAATGCTATTGCGACATTAATAAAAATTATTTTATATAATAATGACAAGTTTTAGTAATTCGATAGAAAATTAATCGCAAAAAAAAGAAATTTTTTATATATCTTTACGTTTCAGAGGTTTCTGAACATTTTGGCATACCTTAGAAAAAATGTATGTATGTGTGTGTGTGTGCGGATACAAATTTTCTTCGACGATTTTGCGAACACGAATCAATGGATTTGAATAATTCAAAAAACATTCGATTCGTATTGACAAGAAGACGCGCTGATTAGTTTTTGGCGAAGGCAGGTTTAGCCGTTCCGAAGATCCGGGACAAAATACTTAATAATACTTATATACAGAACAAACTATATATAATAAAGGAGTGCGCGTAAAGTTCACACGCGATTGCAGTAAAACTTATTTGCTACTGTACAAGATGGCATTTGAGTGAAAATAAATACATCATATAACGATTTTGAATAATGTTTGTTAGTAATATGGTAACACTCGTGATGCACATATTTATCAGTGTCAACTATTATACACATTCATATAATGATAAATTATGAATTATATATTTATAATAGCATTAAAAATATGTATAATATTTAAAAACAATAATATAAATAAAGTCATACTTCAAATATGACATGATCGGTTTGTCATTGTAATTAGCAATGAACCTTCATTAGAGAAATGAAGTAATTGCTGATTAATAAATTCTATAATATTCGTTCACATAGTGGATTATTTTAAACAACGCCTCAACAAATATTGTTTTGGAACTTCACTCATAATGTAATTGTGTTTTCGTGAAATTAAAAAGAACTTCGTGTAATTAAAATTGACATACATTCATTGACGGCTTGTATTTTTTTTTACTTTTCCGCTGGCGATATAATCTCATTCTTTAAACAGCTGTAATATCTATCTTGCCTAAAAATATTTTTCATTTTAATACTTCAAAGATTTATAGAAAATACGAATAATATAGAAATAATTTTTAATCAACAAACTTACGTTTAGTACACGACACAAATATTTAATTTGCTTTACTATTTTCAAGGTACAGGGTAAAATATTATTCTGATTTGGGCATTTTCATTCAATCAATCAAGATTTGTACTACGATGTAACTTTGAAATGTTTATTTATCTATGCCGATTTCCTAGTTGATATCAGTACGCATACAACGTTGATGCCGGTACGCATACAACGACAGGTCTCTATTCGCATACACGACGACTAATTACAATCGACCTGCATAGAAATGATCTCATCGAGAGCGAATGACGAACAATTCGGGCGTAAAGGACTTCCGTTGCATTTGTACCAATTTGCACCCTAGTCGCGCCTAAAGAAGTTTTACTTCAATAATCTATGCATATATTAGAGAAATAGTTCATTGTGTTTATGTCGAAGTCTTCATGTATTAACCAATTCAGTACATATACTTTGGGACATTCAAATGATGATATACAAACACATTCAGTCTATTACAAAAGCCGCCTCGAGGATCATCCAAACCCACTTGCCAGAGAATTACGCCAGAGCGAGATTGAAAACGAAATGTTTGTATATTTATTTAATAATTGTTTGTATATAACATATGCATTTAATTGTTTTTATCTTAAATTATGCATTTATACTTGTTTATCTATCTCTGACAAAGGTCACATGATATTGTGTTTTTGAAGTCATTCTTTTTTAACACTACTGTTTCACTTGTTATCGATTTTAGAGGTCAGGTGTACTATATAATTAAACTAGTGGGGTGCATTGCATCGTGCCTTAAGGCCAATTGCTGGAACTTTGCGTACCGTAATTGAAAATCTTAGTACGGAAACCATAAAAATTTACACAAAATGTGTACACATTATTAAAATATCTATAAAATATCTGATAATTTGATGTAGTTTTATTATTATTATTTTTATTGAGAGTCCATAACCGCTAGACCTGCCTTCCCAAGAATTCGACCAGTTCATCTTATCAAACTCCGTTCACTTAAAAACTGAGTTACCGTTTTTGGAACTTTTTGCCCCGTATCTCCAAAACGGCTAGACCTGCCTATGCCAAAAACTAATTAACACGTGTCCTTATTAATAGGAATCGAATGTTTTAGAAATCGGTTGAATCGTGTTTCCGAAATCGTGGACGAAAATTTGTATCCACACACACACACACATGCATTCATTTTTTCTGATTATGAGGTATGCCAAAATATTCAGAAACCTCTGAAACGTGAAGGTATATAAAAATTTTCAATTTTCGATTTTTTTGCGATTACTATAACTTGCCCGACGGGAAGTTAAAAAGCATTCGATTTCTATTGATAGGGAGACGTGCTGATTAGTTTTTGGCAATGACAGTTCTAGCCGTTTCGGAGATAAGGAGCAAACAGTGCAGAAAATAGAATAGAAAATTAATTTTTTAGAGAAATGAGCATCCGATTTGAATTATCCAAAAAACATTCAATTTGCGATGATGAGGAGAAGTGGTGATTAGATTGTGGTGAAGGCAGGTCTAGTCGCTTCGGAGATGTGGAGCTAAACGTGCAAACAATGGGAGCTCTTGAGAGATCGAAGCATTTGATTCGAATCAGTCTAAAAACATTTTGCTTGTGTTGACAGTGTTAAAAAACGATCAGCTTTTGGAAGAGACAATTATCTTTTTTCTCAAAATTCAAAAAAATAATAATAAGTAAAAATGGCAAAAATGATTCGGATTTTAATATTAATTCCAACTGATATGTTAAAGCTCACTTATATACTTCAAATAAATAATTTTAACTATGCAATTCAGTTATAATTTCTTATATTTTAACTATAAAATATGAATAATAAAAGTTACAATATTTATAATAATCTATTTGAAAACTTTTCCAATATCTCATAACGGTACGGGAAATTCCTGCATTTTACCTTAATGCACGATACCATACACAATTAGTTTTGATAGTTATATTATATTTGATAGTTATAATATTAGTCGATATCATTTTTAACTTCCCGTAGGGTAAGTTATAGTAATCGCAAAAAAATCGAAAATGAAAATTTTTATATATCTTTACGTTTCAGAGTTTTCTGAACATTCTGACATACCTTAGAAAAAATGGATGTATGTGTGTGTGTATGTGTGTGTGTGCGTGTGTGTGTGCGGATACAAATCTTCGGCGGTTATTTCGGGAACTCGGTTCAACCGATTTCGATTATTCAAAAAACATTCGATTCGTATTGATAAGGAGACGTGCTGATTAGTTTTTGGCGGAGGCAGGTCTAGCCGTTTCGAAGATACGGGGCAAAAAGCGCTTAAAACGGTAACTCAGTTTTTAAGAGTACGGAGCGTCCGATTTTAATGATTCAAAAAACATTTTATTTGTATTGACAAGATGAAGAAGTGATCAGATTATCAGATATTTTATAGAGATTTTAACAATAAGTATAAATTTTGTTTACATTCTTATCGGTTCCGTACCAATGTTTATCCGTTAGACGGCAACGCGGCGCTTACGCGCTTCGATATTTTGTCTCTATGCGGTTGAAGCAGTACGATTGCTTTGAAAAAAAGTTCAGAATTTCCAAAATATTTCAAAATAAAGAAAACTTTTTTTTTCAAAAAAGGTAAATTTTCCCAAAATTATATAGTTTCTCAAAAATCTAATTTTTTCAAAGTAAAATTTCTTCAAAAATGTTAATCTTTTTAAAAGAAAATAATTATTAGTACGGGAAGTTCCAGCAATTTGCCTTAAGGCACGATGCCCTAATTGCTTTAAGACAGAACTCCACTTACAGCTAGTTAAATACTATAGATTTTAATGTATATAAAAGTTTTGTTTTTTTTTTAATTTCAATAATTATTACAACTGTTAAATTATTAACATTTAGTAATATTGATAAATAATAACATAAATTTAAATAAATAAAAGTGCAAAAGATAAAATTTACATGAAAATAATATCCGTAATATGATTTGATATAAAATATAAGTAAATAATAATAAAAATAAAATTAATAAATAATATAAATAAAATTTCTGAATAATAAAATAATACTAGAAAAATAATAAAATATAACAAAATAACAATAATAAAAATAGTAAGATAATAATAATAATAATAATAATAATAATAATGTTAGCGTTTACAAATAATTATTAGTACGGGAAGTTCAAGCAATTTGCCTTAAGGTACGATGCCCTAATTGCCTTAAGACAGAATTCCACCTACAGCTAGTTAAATACTATAGATTTCAATGTATATAAAAGTGACTTCTAGTTCTTATTATAGACGGTCAAAGTGTTGACCATGTACTATAGGGTACATAAATAGCTATTTATATTCATATTAGTGTATTAAAAACCAGCTTTTTTAATATTACAAGCAGACAGACACTCCAAATATTTTATATGTTTATTCTCCCCCAGCTCTCATACTATCCCGGTCTGTTGTGTTTTGAAATATCCAGCTCTCCATTTATTTTGATTAAACCCCTCACGCCATTGGTCAATTTGGATTTGTTTTCATAACTTTTGTCCGATATATAATATATAATGCTGATTCAAATCTGAAAAGGAACTAGTAGTAGTCGTTCGGTGCGATTAGACGGATTATCGGGCTCATCGTTCACACATTAACAGACATGGATGATTTGATAAATCGAACGGACGAGGATATCTTGATTTAATTATAAGTTGTTATCGTTTCAAACACGTGTTTTTTGTAATAGAATCATAAAAGATTATTTTATGAAAGTTGGATTTTTAGGAAGGTAGTAGTGCGCAAGGTGGTTTATTTCCAGTGATCGAATTCCAAGTTAAGTGCAGTGTAATTTGACTCAATTTATTGCAAATTGGAAGATGGCTGCTACTAACAATAACGAACCCGATTGCCAAAGTAAGTGCATAATAACTTTTCTTGCATAATCCTTATCCTTTATCTATGTAGTCTGACCATTTGATCGCCTGTACAACCATGTTTTTTTTTGCTATTTTATTAATTTAATTTTTTTACGGTTTTAAATGAGTATAACTTCTTACCTTGTGCAAGAATTTTGAGCTTGACTGGTGGTCAAATAGACTTTACTATGATGAACTTGATGATGAACATTGTATTTAATGTTCGAATGCTTTTTTTTCAGCTTTTTTTCAGAAGCGAAATTTGTGCAGTTATTATGATTATTATAAAATTACTATCCGTTTAATATTAATTATGAATAAGCTTGACAAGAGCCAAAAATAATATCTATTATTATTGATTACGGCTTGCTTATGAATAAATAAATAAATAAATATCGTTTATTTAATTAACTTCCCGAAGGAGAAGTTTATGTTTTCATCAAAAAATCCGATTCGCTAATTTTATGTTTTCTCGACGTTTGAAGCCATTCTGAATCGAATGAGACCAAATTTGGAAAAAGTATGTGTGTGTGTGTGTGTGTGTGTGTGTGTGTGTGTGTATGTGAACAGATTTTTTGCCGTAAATCGACGTTTTCTCGAAAACGGCTGGGTCGATTTCAAAAATTTAAAAGCCATTCGATGTATCTCGACGAGAACTATTGTTTGTCAGTTTTGTGCGACGATCGGCCAAGACGTTTCTTTATAAATGGCAGAAAAGTGAAAAATTTTTCGTCTACGTTTTAGTCCGCAATTCTGAATCGATTTTGAAAATTCAAAAACCGTTCAAAAGATATTGGTTGGGAATCGTGTTGATTAGTTTTTGGTAGAGATCGGCCGGGCCGTTTTCTTGTAATAAAGTTTTTAAAAAAAAAATTTCGACGATTTTTATGATTATTTTTTTGACGATAGATACCATAGTCTTCTAGATCATACAAAAATATTACGGCCCTACGACAACTGGTTCAGCTTTAAAAATTCGTCAAAGTTTGCAAAAATCAGTATGGTTTTTTTTGGCATTTGTCAAAATTAGACTTTTGATCGACGTTTTCTCAAAAACGCCTGAACCGATTTTAGAAATTTAAAAGCCATTTGATGTATTTCGGTGAGGACTATCGTTTGTCAGTTTTGTGCAACGATCTGACAAACCGTTTCTTTGTAATTCGAAAAAAAAGTGTTAAACTTTTCGTCCACATTTAAGCTCATCCTACCGAACCGATTTTAAAAAATCAAAAACTGTTCGAAAGATATTAGTTGGGAATAATACTGATTAATTTTAGGTGAAAATCTACCGAGCCGTTTTCTTGTAATTAACTGTTGAAAAAAAGAGTTATATTTTCGTCGACATTTAAGCTCATCCTACCGAACCGATTTTAAAATATCAAAAACTGTTTGAAAGATATTAGTTGGGAATGGTACTGATTAATTTTAGGTGAAAATCTACCGAGCCGTTTTCTTGTAATTAACTGTTGAAAAAAAAATTTAAGCCGATTTTCATGGAACTTTTTTTGGCGATATACATCATGGTCTTATAGAACTTACTGTAATATTACGGCCTTACGACAAGTAGTTTAATTTTACAAATTCGTCAAAGTTTGCTAAAATTATTATCGTTTTTTTACAAAGTAGGATTGATGAAGTATATTATTTACACATTTTTTTTGATTAAGTCGATTATTTACACATATCGGGAAGTTCATGTAACTTGCCTCAAGGCTAAATACCAAACCAACTAGTTTATTTTAACGGTCTTGTTACAAAAACGTAGAAGTTTTTACTGTAATCTGAACCAAATATTTTAGGACTCCAAAACATCTGAAAATTTTATAATATTAATTGCAAGTGGCATAACTTGCTCGTGCATTTTTGTTATAACACTCATACATTTTCAACTTTGCGTATTGGGCCAGAAATCTAAAATGAGATTTTTTTCTTTAAGAGGTTTCTGAACATTTTGTCATACCTCAGATAAAATAGATATGTGTGTGTTTTGTCGATTTTTTCGGGAGTACCGCTCAACCGATTTGAATAGTTCAAAAGACATTCGATTCCTTTTGATAGGGAGATGTGCTGATTAGTTTTAGACAAAGGCAAAGTCCAGCCGTTTCGCAGATACCAAGCAGAAAGTGCAGAAAATACAAATCGAGTTTTTGAGAGAATGGAGCATCCGATTGGAGTGATCCATAAAACATTCAATTCGTAATGATGGGGAGGAGTGATGTTTAATTTTTGGTGAAGGCAGGTCCCGCCGTTTTAGAGATACCGAGCTAAATGTGCAAGAAATAGCTGTTTTGAATGCTTTTGGAAAAAATCGTTATTTCATTTTTTTTTCATTTTTTTTTTCAAAAATTTTTTTGTATGTCGTAAATAATTCAGATTTTAATTTTAATTCTCACTCATATACTTTAAACAAATATTTTCATCTTTGCAATTCAGTTTATATAATTCTTATAAATATTAGACAATGTTAAAATATTTATAATAGTCTATTTGAAAACATTTAATATTCCTCGAACATTTCGTTACGGTACAGGAAGTTCCAGCAATTTGCCTTGAGGCACGATGCCATATAGAATTAGTTAATTTATTTTAACAGTCTTGTTACATAAACGTAGAAGTTCTATCGTAATCATTGTGAGACAAATATTTTAGGATCCCAAAATCTCTCAATTTTTACAAGTGCAGAAATGTTTTTTGTTTAAGGGGGCATTCTAGTGTAGAGGTATGAATTTTAGGTTATTTTTAAATCATTGTAAACTAGTGGTGTGTGGCATTGTGCCTTAAGGCAAATTGCTGGAACTTCCCGTACCGTAACAAAATTTTCGAGGATTATCAAATGTTTTCGAATAGATTATTATAAATATTGTAACATTGTCTAATATTTATAAGAATTATATAAACTGAATTGGAAAGTTGAAAATATTTATTTAAAGAATATATGTGACCTTTAGAACTTTAGCCAGAATTAAAAAATTAGAATCCGAATTATTTTCGATATACAAACAAAAATTTTTTTGACAAATAAAAATTGAAAAAAATGTTGAAATAACCATTTTTTCAAAAAGCAATTATTTTGTCAAAACAATAAGCAGAAAGTTCTTTGAATTAATCTCGTTCGCTCAAAATCTATCATGTTTTGCACATTTAGCTCTGTATCTTCGAAAGGACTGGCCCTGCTTTTGCCAAAAACTATTCACCACTTCTCCCCATCATTACGGATTGAATGTTTTTTAGATCATTCAAATCGGATGCTCCGTTCTCTCAAAAACTCGATTCTCTCTTTGCTCTTTATCTCCGTAACTGCTGTACCTGCCTTTGCCAAAAACTAATCAGCACATCTCCCTATCAATAGGAATCGAATGTTTTTTGAACCATACAAATGCGCCCGAAAACGTGGACGTAATCTTGTATCCATACATTCATACATACACACACACACATACACATCAATTTTTTCTAAGGTATGCCAAAATGTTCAAGGAAATACTTAGATATTCCCTTTATTAATTCTGTTACATAAGAATAGTTCTGGTACAGTAATTTAAAACCATCGTTCTTGTCAATAAGATAGTGATATATGTCAGGAAATAATTTTTTAATATATTTTCTGTTTGTTTTTTAACTTCCCGAAGAAAAAGTTTATGTTTTCATAAAAAAAATCCGATTTGCTAATTTCATGTTTTCTGGACGATTCAAGCCATTCTGAATCGAAAGAGACCAATATTTGGAAAAAGTATGTTTTCTCAAAAACGCTTGGACCGATTTCAAAAATTTAAAAGCCGATCGATGCATCTTGATGAGGACTATTGTTTAACAATTTTGCGTGAGGATCAGCCAATCCGTTTCTTTGTAAATAGCAGAAAAATTGAAATTTTTTTCGTCCACGTTTTAGCTCTCAATACTGAATCGATTTCAAAAAATCAAAAACCGTTCGAAAGATATTGGTTGACAACGATATTGATTAGTTTTAGGTAAATCTACCGGGCCGTTTTTTGAAATTAATTTTTGAAAAAAAAAAGTCGATTTTTATGAAACTTTTTGGCAATAGATATCATGGTCTTATAGAACATACTAAAATGTTATGTAAAAAATTCATCTAAGTTTGAGAAAATATTATTGTTAAAATTTGTGTCAAAAGTTGCTTTTGGGATGTGATGACTCAAACATTATCAATTCATTAAAATTTAATGCTACAATTTTAGGGCTTACAAGCACCTGTCTGTGCAATACAATTAATACCATTACAGTTAATTTAAATGAGTTTGAGAAATTCTATTCGGAATCACAATGTTTAGATTTAATTGAAAGCGATAACTTTATTTTTGAAATAAACAGTTGAAAATATTATCCAAATATCTACATTTCAATTTTGATTAATTAAGACAATTCTTACACATTTCGGGAAGTTCATGCAACTTGCCTTAAGGCTAAATGCCAATTTCAACTAGTTTTCTGTTTGTTTTCTTTAAATATTTTTTGATATTGCAATTTAAGTAATATTATAATGATTAAGTCATTAAGTCCTAACATATAAATTACAAATTCAAATCTTATTATCTACGTTAAATAGATAATCAAATTGAAGTTGAAATAAAATCTTTGAACATTTAAGATCTGTGAAATAAGAATTTAAGCCACTACGATGGTAATATAATCTTATTATTATAAAATATAAATATGAATGAATTTATATAGTTTGTTCGATCGGATTGCACATATCACATTTAGCAATATTTATAAAAATTGCTGTTACCATGTTGATGCAGGTCATGTGCGTAACTCTTATCCTTCGAATTATCAATAACATTTATAATATTATGTAATTTTATGTCATGTCATCCAGCACATCTCTAAATCATAGGATTTTTGACTTGTTTTTTGATTTTCGAACTTTTGAAGTTTTCTACTTTGATACCCGACTCGGGCAGCCTGATGTCAAGCTGTAGCGACTTCGTTTTTCACTTGAAAATATAGATAGCAATATGTTTTCACATGAAAATG